CACACACAATTTACATTTACTAGTAAACTACGAGAGCATAGATGTGATTAGTACAAGTCAAATTCCTAATGAACAATCATACTCCATGACCCAAAAGTAGAGGATTATAGTCACTTCCTCATCATTAAGCTTTCCTAAAGGCCTGGATTAAAATGAAACCCATGATTCTCTGAGACATGAAAACACAAACCGGATTTTCGGGAGGTTTGACCTCTAGTGTCAAACTTCGCTGACACTAGAACTAGCCCTTGGTGTTTACAACATGACACAGACATCATGCACAGAATAATAAATCAGTGATGGGAAAAGCCCCCTGAGGCCTGCGAGTGGCAGAATGGCCACGAGGACACTCCGCAAACCCCCAACATGACTAAACATTCCCCTCTTTGACCAAGAAGAGTGACTATCTCTTCTTCATTAATCACAATGGTCTTCCTAACACCTATACAAAGTACAAAGATGCCCCATTCCTGGCCTGTCCTCCTTCATTAAACCTTCCTTGTGATCAGCCAGCACAAGCCCAGACCCCATAAAAAGCGCCCCTCAATTGCCTCTTACCGAGACACCCACAGTTCCTGTGCTGTGCAATCTTGCTTGCTGCAGCAAGCGAAACGAACCTTATTTGTTTGACCAAGGTTTGTTTCTGGTGGTCCGTGACTGGTGGGCTTCCACAGAGGGCGATCCTGACAATGATCTGCCCCCATGTCAGACCCTGGGTCCCTTGTATGGCTTTGGAAATTGATCACCATAACGATGCTTCTCCATCAACAAAAGGGGTTAGTTCATGAAGACAAGACGTAGAGACGACCGTCCAAGAGTGACTCTGGCCACCAGCCATCTAATGGTGTGAATCCCTAAACCACCCTGTACCTGCCACGTCCCCTCCCTGAAGGCTGGTCCCAGCAGTGGAGGCAGGTAGCTCTGGGCGCTGCCATTAGCCATGGTGTAGCCTCCTCCCTTTCTCTGAGTTTCCATTAGTTCACAAAAAGAAACAAAGGAACCACAAAGGAACAAATATTCACCACAAAGGAACAAATGCAATTGTGGATTGAAACATACTTTCCAATTAAAAAAAAACAACAATCATTTGTGACTTGAAAAAAATTGTTATAAAAATAACTTCTGATATATAGAGATCCAAAACTAAAATTTCACCCTTAGAGGTCAAGTCCAGTTAAAATCAAGACACTAAATAAAAATTGCAATGACAACACATTTGTGAGCACTTACTGAGTGCCCAGCTTTGTGCTATTTTGCATACGGTAATACATTACTTCATAGCATCTATGAAGCAATTTGGGGGGGGTTGCAACAACCCATTTTACAGACGAGGAAACAGAGGTTCAAAGAAGATAACTAATTAACTTAGGTCACAGAGGTACTGGTGGCAGAATCAAGTTTTGAAATCAAATGTCTATAATTCCAAACTCCAAAGTTTCCAGATAGATTACTTCTCTTGAGTGTGAAAATAATACTGTGTTTGAAGTGATTATAAGATTTGATTACCAGGAAAGCAGTTAAAAAATGAAAATCACAGAGTCTATTCAAAGTGGCCTGTAGTATCAGGATTTCATTTTGCCGTATCAAATGTATTTTTACTATCCCATTTACAGCCAAAAGCTACCAAGAAAAAGTTGTCTTCCATAAGCTACCCTCTGTATCAGTGAGTATCCACATATTTTTGAAAATCTCTTTTGGAGTTTCAGTGATGACATTTTATTGTCATTATATTTATTTATTTAATTTTTAAAAAAGATTTTATTCATTTATCTTTAGAGGGGAAGGAGAGAAGGAGAGAAATATCAATGCATGGTTGCCTCTCATGTGTCCCCTGCTGGGAACTGGCCTGCAACCCAGGCATGTGCCCTGACTGGGAATCTAACCATGATCCCTTAGTTCACAGGCCCATGCTCAGTCCACTGAGCTACACCAGCCAGGGCAGTATCCACATTTTTAAAACTAATCGGTATATAAATTATCTGAATGTACTCTCAGACTTTTTTTTTTTATAAGCCTCTCCTTTCTGAATTTTCTTCTTCTAAAAAAAAGGAAACAATACATGTGTGAACAATGCACATGTGAATAGAATTTCAATGGAAAAGCATTATTCCTCCTCCCCAATAAATAACATAAATATAAAAGGACCTTTAAAAGACATTCTAGCTTAACAGTTCTTTTCTGAATAAAATAAACAAGAGCAAAGGGCACCTTGACAACTACTTACGAAATAAAATCAGAACACACGGAAATCTGTAATTCTAATCACATTTACACCTTCTCTCCTTTTTTTCATTTCTCATCCAAACATCCTTAGGAGCTCAATAGGCTTGAAAGAAATGGAGCAGGGGAGAGAACAAAGGTGAGGGGAGGCTCAGAAACAGCTTAAATGGCCCTTCTCAGTGTTTTAATCATTTCAAATAAAGTAAAATAGCTTTCAGAAGATGTAAAAGCCACAAAAGTAGGAAGAAACTGTACAAAGTTATTCTACCAGCTTATAGTACTTTTTAAAAGTATGTTGGCTAGAGAGCTCAGAAATTAACCTTTTGGGAACAAGAAATGCAAGAAAGCATGAAGAAAAAACTTTTGAGGAAAACAAGTATCAAATTTAAATGAATTATCTTTTGCCAATGAAAGCCTAAATTTGTTACAGAGAATATTAGTATTTGTGTTTTCATGTGGAAATGACTACTTGTACATTCACTATGGTCTCTCTTGAGATTGAGGATAATTTTGGAAAATAAGATAGCCCACTACTATACTTAATCAAGATAAATGTTATAGAACATATAAAATATAAAGAAAAGCATTTACATACCATGTGGTATGTGTGGTTTACTCAATTTGGGAATGAGTTTTGTTTGTTTGTTTTTTTAGTGGGAAGCAGAGAAAGATCAAGGGTAAAAGAAACAGTTGAATACTTACATATTCAAATAATGACCAACAATATACAGACGAGAAAAATACATAATTCTATCCAATTCCTGTATGAGTGATTTTTACTGGGTGGTTCTAGTCCATAACAACACTTGTTTGCGACTTTTCTTAATGCAAGTATCAGAGGAAGTGAGCACTTCCCACCAGCACCTCTGATGCAGGAATAGCTCAACCCTGCACAACCCGAAACCCCCGCTAGGAGGCTCCAGTTCCTCCACCCGCTAAGACACACATCAGTGAGGGCACTCGCAATGGGGAGACAATCCAGAATGTCTCAGAAAAGAAGGTCTTTGCCATCCCGGGGGAGTGGGGTGGGGGGTGCGTGTGTGTGTGTGTGTGTGTGACAGAGAGAGAGAGAGAGATGTGTAACAAACTCAAATAAGTACAACCATTTCCTTCACCGCAGGGCAGACCTGCAGTGTCTCCTGCCCTGCTGCGAAGATGCTCCGACCCTCTCTGAAGTTCCTCCTCAACAGAGACGAAACACACACAAGGTTCTAGAACCGTAACACCTTCTAGCCAACGTGTTGCCTGCAGCCCGTACCAGAAATACCGAGACATGAAACGTGGTTGAAATCAAGGCCCTCCTGGGGAGCTGTCAACATTCACTGAACGTATCAGCCAAACTTACGGTGTTTGGGAGGCCAAATCCAATAACGCAGGTGTGGACTTCACACCTCGGGGCCCTCACGGAGGCCTCCTCCCGGATGAACCCCGATACACGAGGTTATATCAACTACCGGTAAGTGAGGTTTGTTCTTAATGACAAGAAGGCATTGAAATAAGAAAACACGTTTAAAGGGGTACTATTTTTTGAGAACAAAGAATTTCAACTATGTTTTTTCAAGTAGTAGAGAAAACACCTAATATCAAACAGATGTTCAAATGAATATTGGTGTTTATTTAAAAGACTGGTCACATAAACTGAAATGGATTCAGGGTCTCCAAATATCTTAATTTTCTTTGTATGATTCCAAAACTGAGTTCATAACCAGCAAAGCAATCAAGCAAAGTACTAAGAACAAGTCTCCCTGCACTAAAAATGCAGGCAGAGAACGGATTTTTAGACCCAAGCATCCTCCACAAATTCTTTGTTAACCAACACGCTCACAGTGCTCAGCTGTTTTGGCTTCCTAATCAGGCTACATTTCTCCAATGAGATCTCGGCTCCAGACACCTGCTATTGTGTTTGACAGTTAAGACCTATTCTTGCGGACCTTATATAACCTGGAGACTCCACCAGCTGAAGGAAATTTGCACGGTAGGAGTGGGCAGCAGCGGGTAACAGCAGGCAAAAAGCTCCTACAGGAATCAGAATCTACACTAACCACGTTACTGGATTCTCTCCTCTTTAACCTTTGCAGCATCTATCTCATCGCCGTTAAGTGGCTCCACAGTGTGTTGTTCAGTTTGATCTCCTGTTGCCATCACACCTTTCAGGCGACACCGAGAGAGACACTGGTCAGTTCGGTGCCGGCAAGGAGGGTGTTGTGCCAGGGCGCGGAGAAGCGGCTAAAGGTCACGCCAAAGTGGGTGGGTGTCCCGGGTCCGAGTGTTAATTAGGGAACGGGCTGCCCTCCTCGGCGCCCCACTTTAAAGGGCAGGTTTGTGTCTGCAGAGTCAAACTTGGAGCGACCTAGCCAACTCCTTCCACTGCAGGAGAAAGCAGCAAACAGGAGTTCCCGGGCGGGGCATTGGTGAAATTCCCACTCGGGACAGACGCGCGGTCAGGCTGGGCTGGCCCCAGCTGTGGATTTCACTGGCCGGTCCCCACACATCAGCCGAGACTAAGGGAGACCTGGCGGGAAGCAAACGCCCAGAGCTCGAACTAGCTGCTGACTATTCCCATAGTCGAGGAGACCCCGGACCTGCGCTGAACTCGAGACATTTACACCAAGCTTCCCCTTGAAGCCTCATCGGGATTCACTTTGCTCGGCCAAAGAGCCTGAAAGGTCATCTTCCCCAGAAGGGCCAACCCGGGAGTCTGGGGAGCGCAGGGGCAGCGCTCAGGATGCTCTGGCCCCGCACCCCGAGGCGCTGCCCCGCGCGGTCCAGCAGCGCCTTACCTGGCCTCGGCGAATCCGGCAGCCCCTTGGCCGCTCCCAGCTGGCGCCACTGGAAAAGTTTCCGAACTTCTTCGCAGCTCTGCACGCCTTCGCTTCGGGTAAATCCAACGAGAGCCAGAAGGAGGAGACTGCAACAGCCCGCGCGCCAGGTCGGTCCGTCCATCACCGGTGTGTCCTGCTCACCCCCTTCTCCGCCGTGGACCCCACTCTCCCCGCGCGCGCTGCGCTGCAGGCTCTAGCAAACGTTCGAAAGTCAAGGCTTTATAGGGGTGATGTCCGGGGGTGGGCGTTCCGGGGCGGTTCTGGGACACGGGCTGCACCTGCGAGCACTTAGCTTTCTCCCGTGGGCGCCCGAGGCTGAGATGCGGGAGTTCTCGGGCAGAGCCCCGGGGAGTCTCCCTCTCCGCCCGAGGCAAGCTGGCGCTGATCCGGCGAGAAAGACAGCTGCAGCCGCACGAGCGCGCAAGCCTCGGGATCTGGCCACCGCTGCCGAAGCCCCGAGCCGGGCTGGAAACCGCCAAGCCGCGAAGCGCCTGCTGGCCGCGCTGCGCAGGCAGGCCCCGCCTCCGAGCAGGCCCCGCCCCCACGCCCCGCCCCGCCCCTCGGCGAGCTGCCGGGTTAGCACCAGCTCCGCTCTACTAACGCGGGGACCCAGGCTGGAGGCGCTGGAGAGCGAAGCTGCCTGGAGCAAAGAAACAAGTGAAACCCGAACCGGGTCCTCCCTCTGCCATCCAATCGCGGGGACAGTTTGGTAAAAAAAAAAAAAAAAAAAAAGAGCAAATGAATGTAGGGGCTCAGAGGAAACGTTGAGAAACGCCAGCTAGAATGAAGATATTTCCCTATAGATCTAGGTCTTCAATCCATAGGACTTTGTGTTCAAATTACGTGAAATGGGACCTGGGCACAATATAAAAAGCAAAAACTGCTTATAGTTAAATATCCCAATTGAGAGGCTTAATAGTATTTATCAGCTTCCAAAAGAGTGTACATGGGAAGTTCCTTTTCAAAATTGCTTATGTTACTGCTTTGAAACATCTTTTCTGTAACATTACGATTTCCTGAAAGAATTTAGAAGTCATAAAAATTACATTCAAACCTTATCACGTTCTTATAATCACAGTAAAGTCCAATTTAGTCTCTTATCACCATTTAGCATCATATTTTACATCAATACTTTGTATCTTTAAGGGCCCACCTCTGGAATTTCTTTAACACATTTGTCAAACTACTAAAGGGGAAGAGTGCTCAGGAGAGTTTCTCACAAGGAAGATAGAAAAATAAAGACTTTAAGTGAATTTGAAATGACAAAGGAATTTTGTCAGTTTACAAAAGAAATACATTAGAAACCATAAAGCAAAGGGCTGGGCGCATATTCTTTCTTTTTTTTTAACACTTTTTCTTTTTGAGGTAACATTGGTTAATAATGTGTTTCAGGAGCACGTTATATCTTGATACCTGTAAACATGATGGCCTGCTCACTACCAAAATTCCAGTTGGCATCCTTAGCCATACGTTTGACCACCTTTATGCATTCTGCTGTCTCTTCATCCCATGTCCCCTCTGGTAACCACCAATCTGTAGTCTATGACTTTTTATTTTGTTCATTTGTTTTTTTGTGGTTGTTTTATATTCCATATATGAGAGAAGTCATATGGTTTTAGTCTTTTTCCTCTGATTTCACTTAACATAATATCCTCAGGGTCCATTCATGTCTTCACAAATGTCAACTTTTATCTTTTTTATGCCTGAGTAGTATTCCATTGTATCTGTGTACACATCTTCTTTATCTATCATTGATGGCCACTTAGGTTGCTTCCGTAACTTGGGTATTGTAAATAAAGATGCAATGAATATAGGGGTACATATACATTGCTGAATTAATATTTTCAGATTTTTGGATAAATGCCCAGGAGGGGAATTGCTGGATCATATGCATTTTCTAAATGTGGTTGTCTCAATACTAAGCTTGTGAGTGACAAGAGTGTCTCTTCATCTACAGGCATCTGAAGACAGAAGGCCTCCAGTAAAACAAAACTACTTAAAAGCATCAGGCAGAAGTGGAGTATAAATGCCTTAGCTACTTAAAGGGAATTTAATCTCAAATTTGAACCCTTGCCAAGAAATAGAGAGGAATAATTTTAAGTCTTGGTTAACTGTCATGGGGCTTTTAATGACCATTTGATGACAAAGGCGGCACTTTCAGCAGTAGGTCGCTTGCTTTAAAACCATTCCAGGGTAATGGCTGAGATACATCAGTGAAATTGTGCTCACTTGGCTTCTGACATCAATTCCATGCATGCTAGACTTTTTTTTTTTGAGAGGCCCCTTGATTCAGCCTCGACCCCTTACATAGTAGGAGTTCTGGTCCTCGGCATTTTTCATTGGATCGACTTGACGCCCAGAACCCTGGCTCTCTTAATAAGTGAGAATTGAAAAAAATAGCTGCTTTTTAAATTCAAGTAAAACTTTATATAAGGGGTGAGGGAACTTCCCCATGAATCTCTTCTTCTCTAGCCACCAAGTATGGAAAGTATGTCTTTCCAAGTATGGAAAGAAGGCCTAGAAGCCAGCTGTAACTAATAGAAGAAAGGCGGACCATGAGGATGTGTATCGTGTTTAGGTGCCAAACAATACTCTAAGTGCTTTTTTATGGACATTAATTCATTCTTTTAGTCTGTATAACAACCTATGAAGTAGTTACTATTATAATGGATTTATAGATGAGGAAACAAGCACCGAGGCGTGCAGTGACTTGCCCAAGGCCAACAAAGCTATGAGGTAGTGGCACCAGGACTCAAACCCAGGCTTCGGAATCCAGACCTGGTGCTGTTAACCACAGGCTCTCCCCAGTTACGCCAGGCCATAGCAACGAACCTATTGAGTTATATGCAGTAACACCAAAAGCTGTTTATTAACTTATCAGGTTTTTCACTAGTAAATATACATGACTTTATCTATAGAATTTTATTCTCCTAGAATCCCATCCAGTTACTGTAAGGCTAATAAATACCCAAATTTTCCCCCAACTTCTTTGCTTTGCTGAGATCTTTTTTTAAATCCTCACCCAAGGATATATTTATTGATGTTAGAGAGCGAGAGGAAGGGAGAAGTGGGGAGAGAGGGAAAGCATGAGAGAGAGGGGGGAGTGAGAGAAACAGCCACAGGTCGCCTCCTATGGACTGGGGATGGGAATCAGACCCACAGACTTTTGGGGTACAGCACCACACGCTAGCCAGCTGAGTCACTCAGCTGTGGTTCAAGGTCTCTTTTTGATAGATTGGATTGCCATAGAGTATTAGCATTAAACCAATTCTTAGAGATGATCTGGTCCAATTTATTCACTTATAATCCCTAACACAATTTGTTTTGCATGAGCAAAATCACAAACACAATGGAGAATTACTGATAGCTCAGTAGAAACTAATCAACTAACAAATACTGATTACAAACATACTATATATATATATATACTTAAAACCCCACTGTGTTAGGTATAATAAGGATTACAGAAACATGTAAGCAAGTTCTCTTCTCAGTGTTTTTGCTATTTATTTCAACAGAACAAATTAGGTGGGAAGCTGTATAGAGATGGAGTAGGTAGGGTCTAGTGAGAAAATAAATATATTTAGTCCCTATAAAATGTCTGCAATTACAAAAAATAAAGTTTGTTTCTACCTCTTATTTCCTACCACTACCACAGCGGATGAGCCAACAGTGGCTTGGAAGGGCTTCTCTTTCTATCAGCATACCTCTAGCAGCTCCCCAAAGGGACAGTATGCTCCAGCTATGCTGCGAATCTTCAAGACAACTTTCCTTCTTCCAACCAGAATACAGTACCAAAGTGCCTTTTAGAATGACCTCCACACACCGTGCTATAACTGTTTGTTCAATTTACCCGTAAATAGTACAGATGAAGCTTGGGAGGAATTTCCATCATTTGATAGGGATGTTACCTCATTTTTCAAAGGTCACTCAATAAACCTTTATTGAATGTCTTTATGTAATAGACACTGTGGTTTTGCTTTTCAAATATCAATAGCCTTACATAGGGAAAATCTCTAAATGGTCATTGTTTAAAATGTACATTAGTTATCTTCTAAATGCAATGCTTCTAAGTGACTGTTTACAGTGTGACAACGTGAGACCTTGTAAAGAGAAATAAAGAAGCACCAGTACACCTTAGGCGATATTAATGATATCGTGTTGCCTTAACTGTGACTATGCTTTGGGCTAAGACTGGCCACTGATTAGATCACCCTCAGAAGCTGGTTGAGGCAACTTTTATACCCAAACAATAATAATAGCTAAGATTTATTAAGTGGTTATAGGTATTGTCTCATTTAAAATTTCAACCACCCCATGAGACAGTTACTATTATACTACTAATAAGAAATCAGACTTATAGAAATTTAAAATAACTTTCCAAAAGCTACATATAGGATAAATGCCCAATTTGTAGCCAGGTATACCAATTTCCTCACGCCATTAGCCATTACACTCTGCTGCCTCTGACAATCCAAACTCCTGTTTGGTGGCCCCTTGACTCAGCCTCGACCCCTTACATAGTAGGAGTTCTGGTCCTCACTGGTGTTCCTTGTGGACAGCCAGCTGAACCTCATCTTCATATGGATCCAAAGACCTGCAAGGCTTGAACCCTGGCCCAGAAGCATCTTCCTTATCAGCTGGCGAAGATACCAGTTGCTCCTCCATCCTCCCAGAACTGATTTTTTAGTCATGTGAACTGATTTGTGAAGACAAAATTTAGTGCACGACCTTGATATCTTTGGGCTTCACGGGGGCCCAGAGGCCTGCCTTTGGGTTCTGCTCTTGCCAGATATGCACACCCCCTCCCCAGTGAGCAAGAAACACCCCCCTCCCCGAAGTTAGCTCCCCTACCAGCCAGACAAGCTCCAGGCCGTCTTATTTTCAGCCTAACCAATTTTCCCTCCTACCAGCCTGTGAAATTACCAAACAAGGCAATTACACTCTTCCCTGGGAACCGAGGATCACCTGACCCTCTTGTCACCAGAAAGCCTGCCTTCCACAGCCTTTCCTAGTTCATTTCGCTCCCAAGTACAACCCCCCTCCCCCATAGTCCTGTGTGGCACATGATTTCCTCCTCCCCTGAGCTGAGAGCACATGTAACTAATAAACTGCTGTGATTCTCATCTTTCCCATCAAGTGTTTGGCCATCTCCTATTAATTAGGGAGGGGGGTCCCTCCTTCATCAATGGGGCGAATAGGAGGTAGTTAGAACAAAAATAGACTCGGGCTCCATACAAGTGCTTCCACTTAGCTATTTCCAAAAAAAAAAAATCCTGACTTTCGCCTTGCTAGACTTTCAATCCCCCCCAAGTACAGGCTTTATCTCTCTTGCTGCCCTATTAAAGGGAGCCAAATTGAAGGTCAGCCCCAGCTGACCCTAGAAATGAATTTCTGCCACGAGAAACCAAAAGGAAATTGAGGGA